CACAACTGATGAAGCATCTTGGATGTTCTTCTTCCTTAAGGAAAAAACAGTCCAGTTGCTTTTTGAAAAAGTACCTTTGATAAGAAGAGGATAACTACGAGCAAGGTGAATAAATAAATACGCTCATCATGAAATGATTCAATGCCTAGAATCATCCAATGAGTTTCCATATCTCTGCAAATCATGCAGACCCAAACTGGATCTGTTGGAAAGAGTTGATACCATTGAAAGCACGAATAAGATCCCTTGACACCATAGTAGCATCCCTGGATGCCTTAAAAGAAAGATTATCCAACCTTGAAAAAAACGACACATTGCAAAAACCTGAACATCCAATAGCTACAAACCACATCTCTACCCAACCCAATCCACAACCCAATCCACAAAAAAACATAAGCCAGACAAATAATGATATCCCAATCCTCACCAGAGAAGCTGTTGAGTGTGAACGGAAACATCCAGATGCCATCTTATTTGGTCTAGAGGACATCAATGATAATGATGACATCACAACTGTCTGAAACATCATCAGTGATTATCAAGTATCAACCATCTCCCCTGATGAAATACTTGACATTTCCCACATTGGCCGAGAGCTCAGAAAGAGAGATGGCTCTGTGGCCCGATGCTTCTGCAGGGTCATTTGCAAAAGTGAATCAAGCAAATGTAAATTCATTTATAAATTCACTCGCCAAAACCAACACCAACCATAAGAACCTCCGTTGTTGCCCTGATCTAACCATACAGCAACATGCCCGCTCCCGTGTACTCCGCACTGAACTCAAAAAACATCCAGACAATGGAGGGAAGGACCTGTACATTGACTACCATGCTGACTGTATCAAAAGTAAGTCACACAACTCGCAACTCAGCTTTAACCTTCAACCACAACCCTACCTCAACCAATCCACCATTACCTAAGACTAGGCACGCACACCCCTAACTACCTCAATTCCAACTACTGCTGGCCTTAAATGCAAGCTACTCAATGCAAGAAGCCTTGCAAATAAAATACCTGAATTTCTCCTCTTATTAAATATGGCTAAATTCGACATCATATTTGTCTGTGAAACATGGCTCAATGCATCTCTCCCTGACTCCATTACTACAGTAAGAGACTATCATGTTTACTGATCAGATCGTGAAATTCATAGAGGAGGTGGTGTTGCTATCTTCTATAAAAAGTCCTTACATTTAAAAAATATCCAAGTTACCCAGGAGCTTGCTATTCCGGAGACCATCATCTGTGAACTATCCTTAAATATCACATTTCGATTCTTACTATGTTACAGAGCACCTGATTATGACATCGAACATGTAAACAAGCTAAATACACTACTAACATGGGCAGCATCCTGCCCACACACTTTTATCTTTCTTGGTGACTTCAATCTAGCTCATATTGACTGGACCCTAAATGAATGTACAACTGTACCCATACACGCAACCTTCTACAATGCTATTACAAATCTGGAACTGGAACAACTAGTAATCAACAACACTAGACTAAACAACTGCCTCGATCTCATCTTCTGCAATAGTTTGAATTTAATTTACAGAATACAAACTAAAGAACCATTTTCCAGCAGTGACCACAATATGATTGACTTTTGTCTCAACGTATGCCCACACAAAAATCATCACAATGACATAATCCCCAATTATAACTTCAAAAAAGGCAACTATGATCTTACAGACAACGATCTCTCATCCCTTGATTGGCAATCTCTATTCACTGGATACAATACTGTTGAAGACCATTACAACATATTCTTACTAGAAATCAAAAGAGTCATCAAACTATATGTACCAACAACTCCCAAAACAAAACAAAAAACAGATTACCCATAACAATAAGGAAACTTCAATCCCCAAAGAGATCACTCTGGCAGAAAAACAAATCTGGTCACGTTGCCAATTTCAAAAGCTGATACAAAAATCTATGCCACCAGATAAAGACTGAATGCACCAATTATCACATTAAACAAGAGGAAAACCTTCTATGCACCAATTCCACCTGCACTTTTTACAATTTTGTAAACAACAAACCAAAAGACTCAAGGTCCATCCCACCCCTGATAGGAGCTAATGGTAAAGACTGCAATGATGACACCATTAAAGCCAACATCTTTAACACATTCTTTGGCTCAGTATTTGGCTCTGCAATGGATCATGCCCAGTATTTCCTAGCTGAACCACAGACAACTACAATGATCTAATACATATTGATTTTACTGAAGACAATGTTGAAAAAGCACTATGCAATCTAAAACCATCTCTATCTATTGGACCAGATGGAATATGTGCCTACTTCTTTAAAAAGCTATCCACTGCCATAGCTGAACCTCTAAGCATAATCTTTGAAAAATCTTTCAGGACCAGCTCCTTGCCTAACCTATGGTCACAAGCCATGGTCATCCCCATCTTCAAAAAGGGAAACCCCAGCCTTGTTGAAAATTACAGACCAATCTCCTTATGCTACGTCACCTGTAAAGTCATGGAATCAATTATTAACCAATCCATTATCCTCCACTTAGAGACAAACAACCTACTCTCTAATAAACAATTTGTTTTCAGGAAAAAACTATCCCGTAATCTGCAACTCTTACACTGCAAAAACATATGGACGACACAACTCGATCAGGGCAAAGCAATAGACGCAATCTACATAGACTTCTGTAAAGCCTTTGATTCAGTGGTACACGACAAACTACTCCTAAAACTAACATCTTATGGTATCTCTGGACAACTGCATAACTGGATAGAAGCATTCCTGTCAAACAGACAACAAATGGTCAAAATTGGGAGTGTCCTATCAAATTCTGTACCTGTCAATAGTGGTGTCCCCCAAGGCAGTGTTCTAGGACCAACTCTCTTCATACTCTACATAAATGACCTCTGTGATCATATTAAGAGCAACTGCATTCTTTTCGCTGATGATGTAAAACTGTTCAATACCACAGACAATACTGCTACCCTTCAAAAAAAACCTTGACTATGTATCAGAATAGTCAAACAAATGGCAACTTCAAATCTCAACAAATAAATGCTCTGTCTTACATATTGGCAAAAAAAAATCAGAAAATAAAATACAAGCTGAATAGTTAAGATCTTATTGATGATCCAAGCTCTGTGAAGGACCTTGGAATACTCATCTCGAATGATCTAAGTGCTAGAGCCCACTGTAACTACATAGCCAAAAAGGCATTAAGAGTTGTTAACCTAATCCTACATAGCTTTTTCTCTGGTAATATCACACTACTAACTAGAGCATACAAAACATTTGCTAGACCAATACTCGAATACAGCTCATCGGTCTGGAACCCACATTACATATCTGATATTAGCACAGTTGAGAAAGTCCAGAAATATTTTACAAGAAGAGTTCTCCACTCCTCTACTCATTGCAGAATACCTTATGCCACCTAGACCTAGAAAACCTTGAATTACGCCATCTTTGGTCTGATCTAAGTATGGTATATAATCATACATTGCAATGTCCTACCTGTCAATGAATACTTCAGCTTCAACCATAACAACAAAAAAGGTGATGTTATTCAATTGATTCTGGATAGAACTATTTTGTCCCTTAAAATTAAGTTCACAATACGTGATGGAATAGTTGGATGTCCTGAGGGGATAAGGAGAAGAGATGCTACCTAGAAAACAGTCAGACAGGAGAAGGAGGAGCCCCCTTTTAATGGCTTATAGATCAAAGAAAGAAACTTAGGAAAGACCCACCCTAATTAATCAAGCAGTTAGAAGTGGTGGCACGAAGTTTATACCTTCAGACTTGCAAAATTCTGTTAATGTAGCCTTACAATAAAGTAGAATTAGTGCATCTGGTCATGTTTCCTATCAGATTATGAGAGCTGACGTCAATCCAACAAAACATCCTTAATCACAATTATAAATTTCTATTTGGTGCATTCTGGGGAGGTACCATGTTTTCTCAAAAATCTATCTTTTGTAACAATCATGCAGGCAATACAAATGAACTACAAAGAGACCTCCCTCCCTATGAAAGATATTATGGAATACAAAAAGAAAAAAATCAGTGAAATAATTTCCATATGTGAATCATTTCAAAAATAGTTCTTGCATGAAAACATTACATTGGAAAAGGTTATTGTCTCAGCTGTGTTCTCAAAGCTTCGCAGCAATAAAAGTAATATTGCTAATTTAAAAATATCACAGAGGGGCTAATTTACAACTAATTCATGCTGTGAATGAGTGGAGAAAATCCATGGAACATATGTGGAAGAAATAAATTTTAAGTTGAACTAAAAGTACTTGAGTCTGATAAAAAAAATCTCAAAAATTTTCCAGGCACAAACTGAGCAAGGGGACTGAAGATAAATATTCCAATAGTTGAAGAATTTTCTGAGAACCCCCAAGGCTTCTAACAATTTTTTCAAAGATGTTATTAGCCACATAACTAACCTTCCCAAAGGGCAATTAAATGTGATCCATATCACAATCTTCATCTGGCCAAGGCTTTTGCTGTAAGTGTACTACTTTGCAAAAAAATGCATTTTTAAAAAAAATTGTTGGAGGACACTTACAGAGTTCAAAGTAGCAGTTCAGACAAAGTCCCCCTTTTTATATGTGTTGTGTCTGCCAGTCATGTTCAAAAGTAGGTAAGGCCTTGTTTGAGTGGTCTTAGCCCCCATCTTGTTGGTTTTCGAGCCTCAAAGGATACCCTATCTTTATTACTCTTTTATAGCCCAATACAAAATAGGATTGAGATCCCCTGTATAAAGTAGCATAAGTTTCAGATAGGACAATTATACAGATAATTGCTTCAGCCTCAGCCGAACTTTTACCTGTCTGTAATCATATGGTTTGGGATCTTCATATTTGTTGCTAGTAAATTTTCCCATCTTCACAGACATTAACTTGGCTTCATTGGAGCCTGTATAAGGAAACCTGGTAGCAATCTTTGTTTGTTTGACCTCTTCAGTGACTGGGATAATCAATCCTGATTTTATTTTATGTAATTCTTCAAAAAATGTCTTCTTTTTTTCCTTTTTTTTCAGCTCTTGGTAGTTTCCAACTGGCTTATGTGAAGATAAATACACTTTATAGCTAAAATCTGGTGGTTGACACATCCATCTTTGTCTTTCTGGAGGGGCTTTGCACTGCTGCGATATACGGATTTGATTTCGTTCTAATGCTAACTCCAGGTTTGTAGCAAATTTTTCTTTTGAGTCAAAAGAACATATGGATGGCTTCTTGATAAGGGCACTAGGAAACATACTTCTTTCCTTAAGTCTGTAAGAAGTTTTTAAAAATGAAATGTATTATTATTGGTTATTAATTTGATATTCTACGGTAGGTAATAGATGTATTATTTTAATATGAACATTTAATATTACAAGAATTCCCTTTCATGTATACTCATATTTTCACAAGTTCATATTATTACATTTAATAAAACACTCTCAGAACTAATAACTAGAAGTGGCACATCTCAAGCTTATTCAACATGGCACTCGCTGTGAGAATTAGGTGGAGAAACAAAAAGCAAAATAGCAGGAACCTCTTTTAATAAAATTGTGAAAACTTATTAAAGAACACAATTCATGAAGAGAAACAACCATTGTACTTCATGGGTTTTGTTTGTTTGTTTGTGGGTTTTTTTGTGCAGAGCCTCAAAAAAATAAAGCAAACTCAGTGCTATGAAAATGGCTGTTTTAGGGAAGAATGGCAGAGAATCATCAGTAACAAATAAATATATGAAATCACTGGTTAGCCCTCAACTTAGACAGCCTGTGTTCCAACAAAACTATGAGATATAGAATATAGAATGTAACGACCAATCACATGATTTCCTCTGAAACAAGCAATACGTATTTTAAAGATAATCAGAGTAAAGTTACAGTAAAAAGTAGAATTAAACATGTTAAATAGTTTTACTCACCTTCACTTTTTTCAAAATGTTCATGCTGTATTAGACTTTGCTTCAAAATGTTAGAGCAAACCAAGCAAAAAGAACAACTCACAGTGGTGTTTGTTCTGGAAGATGTTTATGTCTATTTGTGGCACAAAGAAGCCTGAGTGCATAATTGTATTCAAGTCATCTGGGTTGCTAAGAAACAACAATTTTGCCTTAGGATTCCATTTACAATTTACATCTAAACACCCCTGAAAATAATGTCTCTGTCGGTGGACTAAGGTTAAAATGAATCAGGGAGAGCCATTCAAGGACTTTATTTGAACTGCTAAGAAGTCAAAAAGAAGAAACAAACAAACAAAACTATTGAAGAAATTTTTTTTGCAGAATCTCTTTTTTTCCCCAAAATGAGATTCCAAATAAATACTATACTAATATATCACCACCATCATTACCACTACATTGTAGTATAAATTTGCTCACATTATTATGTATTATGTCATTTCTGCATACTATAGTAATACACTACACTACTAGAATCTATAGTAGTATACCAGACACATAATCCATTTTTGCAATATGGAGATCAGTACAACTCCAAATATAACATATGAAACAATCAATATACAGGTGAAACTCAAAAAATTCGAATATCATGAAAAAGTTCATTTATTTCAGTAATGCAACTTAAAAGGTGAAGTTAATATATGACATAGACTCATTACATGCAAAGCAAGATAATTCAAGCCGTGATGTGTCACAATTAGGATGATTATGGCTTACACCTCATGGAAACCCCAAATACACAATCTCAGAAAATTAGAATATTGTGAAAAGGTTCAATATTCTAGGCTCAAAGTGTCCCACTCTAATCAGCTAATTAAGGCATAACACCTGCAAAGGATTCCTGAGCCTTAATGGTCTCTCAGTCTGGTTCAGTAGGAATCACAATCATGGGAAAGACTGCTGACCTGACAGTTGTGCAGAAAACCATCACTGACACCCTCCATAAGGAGGGAAAGCCTCAAAAGGTAATTGCAAAAGAAGTTGGATGTTCCCAAAGTGCTGTATCAAAGCACATTAATAGAAAGTTATGTAGAAGGGAAAAGTGTGGAAAAAAAGGTGCACAAGCAGCAGGGATGACTGCAGCCTGGAGAGGATTGTCAGGAAAAGTCCATTCAAAAGTATTGGGAACTTTCACAAGGAGTGAACTAAGACTGGAGTCAGTGCATCAAGAGCCACCACGCACAGATGGATCCTGGACATGGGCTTCAAATGTTGTATTCCTCTTGTCAAGCCACTCCTGAACAACAAACATCAGAAGCATCTTACCTGGGCTAAAGAAAAACAGGACTGGTCTGTTACTCAGTGGTCCGAAGTCCTCTTTTCTGATGAGAGCAATTTTTGCATCTCATTTGGAAACCAAGGATCCAGAGTCTGGAGGAAGAATGGAGGGGCACTCATTGCAAGATGCTTGAAGTCCAGTGTGAAGTTTCCACAGTCTGTATTGATTTGGGGAGCCATGTCATCTGCTGGTGTTGGTTCACTGTGCTTCATTAAGTCCAGGGTCAATGCAGCCGTCTACCAGGAGATTTTGGAGCACTTCATGCTTCCTTCCATAGACGAGTTTTATGGGGATGCTGACTTCATTTTCCAGCAGGACTTGGCACCTGCCCAAACTGCCAAAAGCACCAAAACCTGGTTCAGTGACCATGGGATTATTGTGCTTGATTGGCCAGCAAACTCGCCTGACCTGAACCCCATAGAGAATCTATGGGGCATTGCCAAGAGAAAGATGAAAGACATGAGACCAAACAATGCAGAAGAGCTGAAGCATTCTGGTCTTCCATAACACTTCCATGCCACGCCGCATTGAGGCAGTAACTGCTGCAAAAGGGGCCCAAACCAAGTATTGGGTACATATGCATGCTTATACTTTTCAGAGGTCCGATATTGTTCTATGTACAATCCTTGTTTTATTAATTGCATGTAATATTCTAATTTTCTGAGATTGTGGATTTGGGGTTTTCCTGAGCTGTAAGCCATAATCATCACAATTATGACAAATCACAGCTTGAACTATCTTGCTTTGCATGTAATGAGTCTACCTCATATATTAGTTTCACCTTTTAAGTTGCATTACTGAAATAAATGAACTTTTGCATGATATTCTAATTTTTTGAGTTTCACCTGTATATTATCACATAACTAGGACAACTAGTTAAGATTAGTACATTAGGACTTGTGTGTTATTCAAAGCAGCAAAATTATGTTTAGCTATGTTCTTTTGCTAGATATTTTTAGATGTTTTATACAGTACTATCAATACAATACTATTTATTCTGCATATGACAATTTTTTACTTAAATTCTAAGTAACAAATTATTTTAATTATCTATTTTCCTCAAATTATCAAATGAAAAAAATCATATATTTAAAAATTTCAATTACTGAATGAATGTTGTGAAATATAATAGAATTTTCTCCTATTTCATTTTTGAAGCTTATGTTGGACCCTCTTTTCCCCTTGTTTGGGGTTATTGTTTACAGTTCAAAGTGACTCACAAACATAAAATCTGAAGGAATGTTTTCATGTGAATCCTTTATTTAGAAATTGTCCAGATTCTTTTTCAGAATTTCATAGGACGCCTTTGATTTGTAATCTGCCCAACATTTTCATCTGTTGCTTTTGTCTTTTTTTAGCTAGGAAAAAGAAAAATCATGAAAGAAAGAAGCTATGCAATGCTTTTTCATTAGCAGAAATTTTCAGGAATATCCAAAATAAATTCCAATTTATATGAAGCCAAGTGTGCATTTGAGTCCCCAGACCTGGACATCAAGATAGAGTTATATTAGGGTTTGTTAACCTGATGTTGTCAGGCATATTAAGCAAAGAAAAAAGTATGAGATATGGCAAGAAAGAAAAGAGTCTCACATTCTCTCCTTTTTACATTTTTAGTAAGAGCCAGACTGTTAAAACGCTCTGGAAATTATAAAAGCTTGATTCCTTTGGAGATTGAGAGATTTTGATTAATCATAATAAAATTATTTCCAAATTTTTCCCCCTCATGGGCCAACAAAGTTATCTTTGTTGTGCTTTTCTCACAACATAGGTTTAGTAAAATTGAAAGACTTATTTGGGAATTTTATTTCACATGCTATTTATCTATTTTATATATTAAAGTAATAATTCTCAATTCACATTCATACCCTGAGAAATGATAATCTTATTTCTTTTAGGAATCAGTGTTTTTATTTGTTTACATAGCATTGATGTTTGAGGGGAAACTTATTTGTTCCATTATAATGTACAAATCCTGCAAACATTCTATTCAGTGCTGAATTAAATATTTAAACTTTGACCATAATAGTCAGTATTTCACATTTGGCCTGTGATGTTTTGCCTTCTGTTCACGGACTGCAAACAATGCCTGAAAATTTGGGGGTGGGGGGTGGGGTCAAAGAAAATATATAACAACGGCTATGAGAAGGCACAAAAGGTTAACACCGAAGCAACAATAAAAAGGATACATATAATGTGTTCATGCATTTCCCTTTGATGAGATTATTCAAGATCCTGTAAGGCAAAAAAATGAGATATAGGTAATGACTGACATAAACAAATTATCTTTTAAGAACCCATTTTTCATTACTGTGTTTTTATATTGAATTCAGTATATAGATTATTAAATGGTGTCTATATTGGCATTTTATCAATTGTTACTATACTATTCACTAGTATTAACGAATTACTAGTATACAGATTATTAAATTATATGTTAATTTTTGTATTGTTATAGATTAAATGATTCATGTATTGTTTATCTTGTCTACTATGTCAATGTAGTCCATGAAAAAGAGCTACATCAAAGTATTATTTTGTGTGTTCATGCTATTAACTGTAAACTGATTTCTCAGTGTATAGTACTGTAAATGAATGTTTTTAACTCAGGATTTAAAAATTTAGATAAATTGCCACTAGATGGCAATATATTACTTACTATGATACTGTAGCATAAACGTTAGAAAAAGATTATAGTTTAATTTTCTAATCTACATCTACGTTTTTTTTAAATCAAAAGACATAAAATGTCATTATCAATACATTAGCAAGAAAAAGAAAAGAACTCAGAAAGCACTTCTAATGTTTTCCTAAAATGTGTACGTGATTCAAAAAATTTAAAAGTCCACTATGCAATAATTTTCTGAAATGGAGAGCCACATAAATTTGAAATAAAAATGATAAAAAGAATATTAATTCAAAAATGTGATAGCAGTCTCCCAAACTATATTTGAACACAGACACAATAGTATGGAATTTCAGAATATGTTGAAAAATGTATATTGTATAGTTCTACACTA